AAAACCCCGGAAAATGGGATTTAGGAAAAGCCTGGAAAATCCCAGGGAAATCCTGGGAAATTGGTACTTAGGACAGGCCTGGAAAATCCCAGGGAAATCCTGGGAAATCGGGATTTAGGACAGGCCTGGAAAAATTGGAAATCGGGACTTAGGACAGGCCTGGAAAATCCCAGGGAAATCCTGGAAAATCCCGGGAAATCGGGATTTAGGACAGGCCTGGAAAATCCCAGGGAAATCCCGGGAAATCTGGACTTAGGACAGGCCTGGGGAAGTGGGAATATCCGGGAAATCACGGGAAATCAGGATTTAGGACAGGCCTGAAAAAACGGGAAATCAGGACTTAGGATGGGCCTGGAAAAGTGGGAATATCCAGGAAATCCCGGGAAATTGGGATATAGGACAGGCCTGGAAAATCCCAGGGAAATCCCAGAAAATCCCAGGAAATCAGGATTAAGGACAGGCCGGGAAAAGTGGGAATATCCAGGAAATCCCGGGAAATTGGGATATAGGACAGGCCTGGAAAATCCCAGGGAAATGCCGGGAAATCGGGACTTAGGACAGGCCTGTAAAAGTGGGAATATCCAGGAAATCCCAGGAAATTGGGATTTAGGACAGGCCTTGAAAATTGCAGGGAAATCCCAGAAAATCCCAGGAAATCGGGATTTAGGACAGGCCTGGAAAAATGGGAATATCCGGGAAACAGGCCTGTAAAAGTGGGAATATCCGGGAAATCCCGGGAAATCGGGATTTAGGACAGGCCTGGAAAATCCCAGGGAAATCCTGGGAAATCGGGACTTAGGACGGGCCTGGGAAAGTGGGAATATCTGGGAAATCACGGGAAAGCGGGATTTAGGACAGGCCTGGAAAAATGGGAAATCCCAGGAAATCCTGGGAAATTGGGATTTAGGACAGGCCTGGAAAATCCCAGGGAAATCCCAGAAAATCCCAGGAAATCAGGATTTAGGACAGGCCTGGAAAAGTGGGAATATCCAGGAAATCCCAGGAAATCGGGATTTAGGACAGGCCTGGAAAATCCCAGGGAAATCCTGGGAAATTGGTACTTAGGACAGGCCTGGAAAATCCCAGGGAAATCCCGGAAAATCCCAAGAAATCGGGATTTAGGACAGGCCTGGAAAGTCCCAGGGAAATCCCAGAAAATCGGGATTTAGGACAGGCCTGGAAAATCAGGAACTCCCAAATGCATTCCCAGCATTCCAAACCCATTCCCGGATCCCATGTCAGCCAGGTACAGCTCGCGCAGCGTCACGTTCATCTTCAGCGCCGTGGCTGCGGGGGGAAAACAACGGGAATGAACCGGGAATGAACCGGGAATGAACCGGGAATGAACCGGGAATGAACCGGGAATGGGGAATGGGAATGGGAATGGGAACGGGGAATGGGAATGGGAACAGGAACGGCACCGGGAGGGCCACCGGGAACAGCAGGAAAATGGGAGGGGAATGGGAAAAATGGGTGGGAAATGGGAAAAAAAATTGATGGAAAAAGGGGTGGGAAATGGATGGGAAATGGGGGGAAATGGGATGGGGGGATGGATGGGAAAATGGGAAAAAAATGGATGGAAAAATGGATGGAAAATGGATGGAAAATGAACAAAAAATGGGAGAAATGGATGGGAAAATGGATGGGAAATGGGGGGAAATGGATGGGAAAATGGATGGGGGGATGGATGGGAAAATGGGAAAAAAATGGATGGAAAAATGGATGGAAAATGGATGGGAAAATGGGTGGAAAAATGGGAGAAATGGGTGGGAAATGGGAGAAATAGATTGGAAAATGGATGGGAAATGGGAAAAAAATGGGTGGAAAAATGGATGGAAAATGGATGGGAAAATGGGTGGAAAAATGGGAGAAATGGGTGGGAAATGGATGAAAAAATTGACAGAAAAATGGGGAAAAATGGATGGGAAAATGGATGGAACATGGATGGGAAATGGATGGGAAAATGGGTGGAAAATGGATGGAAAAATGAATAGAAAAATGGATGGAAAAATGGGTGGGAAATGGGAGAAATGGATGGGAAAATGGATGAAAAAATTGATAGAAAAATGGGAAAAATGGATAGGAAAATGGGAGAAATGGATGGGAAAATGGATGGAACATGGATGGGAAATGGGAGAAATGGATTGGAAAATGGATGGGAAATAGATGGAAAATGGATGGAAAATGGGAGAAATGGGTGGGAAAATGGATGAAAACATTGACAGAAAGATGGGGAAAAATGGATGGGAAAATGGGAGAAATGGATGGAAAAACTGATGGAAAAATGGGAAAAACAAACAGAAAAATGTGGAAAATCCCCAGCAGGACCTCCCAGCCCCTCGCTTCTCCCTTTCCCACCCCAAACCCCTTTAACCCCTTCACCGCCGCCTCCCTCCCTCCCTCCCCTCCCGAAATCCCCTCGCCAGGAGCCATCCCAGTGGGAATTCTGGGAATTCCGGGAATGCCGGGGGTCTGACCGAGCAGCATGAGGGGTCTCCCGGACAGGGAGGTGTTCTCCAGGTGCAGAACCACCAGGCTGCTGCTGATGCGCAGCGCCCGCGCCACGAACGGCGCCGAGTGGTCCAGGAGCGGCGTGTTCCGGGCGTCCAGGTACTGCAGGCAGCTGGTCTGG